GAGCTGCGTCACAGGAAGTGAAGTCGTTCTCTGGTTTCTCCTTCGAGTGGAACCTTTAAAAATCTGTGTCGTCAGCGTGAATCAAACATTAACACAGCGCAGATTAAGGGGAGCGGTAGAGCGCTTCACTTAACTTCACTAAACATTAAAACTTTGCACTTTAAGATGAGGATTTTCATAGGATCATTGAAACCAAATGACATGTTTATTTAAAGCTTGACTCTGGGACATGTTTTGGAATAAGAGTTTAATTTTTTAAAATTTTTTTTTTTTTAAAACAAAGCGTACATTTTTGGCATTTCGTTTAAGACTTTTTATTTTACTTTAAACAAAACTTTACACACACAACAGTGGATTTTTGCTTTGCTTGCGTCGTTATGAATCTGACTGTAAATTTGTGCAGTTATTAATATAAACTGTCTGTAATAGAGATTATGCATTGATATTGTATTAGAAAAATGCTCCACAACATTCTGACATTCTGAGTAACATTAACGCAAAACTGTGGGCAGCACAACAAACAAAATGTGCTTCTTTGCTTTTTTTGCCTAATTTTTGTCCTTGGAGCTTTTGGAGTGAACTGCTTTTCTACTCTTGACTTGATTTTCTTGCTTTAGGTGTCAGATACAAAGAAAAAATACTGAGCAGAGTTGTTTTGTCTTTTATATTTTGAATTAAGTTCCAGAGATTTTGATGTCATCTGCTTAACCGCCATTGAAAGATGAGGTTTTTAATGCAGCGTGATTTTGTAACTTCAGTTTTCTTCAATAACACTTCCTTCTGCCAGACAAATGTTTAACCATTTACGAGAGCATTATTTTTGCATTTATATTTTAAAATGAATGTGTCGTGGAATTTATCACATAGAACTGACTCTTGATCAAAACTGTGTGTGTGTGTGTTTTTTTTTAATATACAGTATATGTATTGGGTTTGATTTTTATTAAACTCAGCGTTACTCCTGTCACTATTACAGTTTGTGTTTAGTACCTGGTTTGGAGTTAAAGTCTCAGTTAAAACCTGGTTTAGCTTTTGTGAATGACTGATGAAGACAGTTTTTACTTGAATGCTGTTAAACAAGGACTTATAATCATTTTTATTTTAACATTTAATTCTTACCTTATATAGTTGTCATCCACGGCATGGATGGAACATGTACAGTTATGCCCATTGTATTTATTTCTTAAAATGAATGGAATTATGATTTTGTGTGTGTGTGTGTGTGTGAATTTTAAACCAAAACTTAGTTTTTTCAGCCCAGTTGATGTTAGACAGTAAAACACTCTGAGATGATCAGAGTAAAACCTTTCAGATGTGTTGGGTTCTAATTCCATAATTTCATCTAATTATCATATTAGTCTTTTGAAAGTTACATATGTATAATCAGAAATTACAAATGTTGATCTTTTTTTGTTATTAGGCCTGTTTGAAAGATTTGTAGAGATATACATACACCAGGTTAATGTGTTTATTGAATATTTACCTGTGCACTCTGAATCGATTCGCTCCTGTGACTGTTCTGATCTTATGATCCAGTTTTAAATCTTTACTGTTATTATCATATAAGTGGCACCTCTGACTTTAACCATGCCAGGACAGTCCCCGTTCCGGCGTCATAACTCCACTCCGGTGCAGTTCTTCGTCCTCTCTGCGTACTCTCACCCCGGCTCTCTGCGCTGGCTCTTCTTCTGTGTTCTGCTGTTGCTTTATGTTCTCATACTGTTCACCAACGTTCTCCTCATCGTCGTCATCGTTGTGAACCGCAGCCTCCACGAGCCCATGTACATGTTCCTCTGCAGCTTGTTCCTAAACCAGCTCTACGGCAGCGCAGTTCTCTACCCCTTCCTCCTGGTGCACATCCTACGAGACTCTCACGTTGTTCCTGCTCCGTTTTGCTTTTTCCAGATTTATGTTATACACGGATATGGGACGGTGGAATTCTTTACGTTGGCTAGTATGTCGTACGACCGCTATGTGGCCATTTGCCATCCGCTTCACTATAAATCTCTCATGAGCTGGAACAAAATGGCCGCCCTAATTTTGTTTCCATGGACATATGGTTTGTTAAGGATGGGTGTTATGATCAGTCTGAGTTCATCATTGGAACTTTGTAATAATGTTATTGATAAAGTTTACTGTGATAATTACCCCATAGTAAAACAGGCCTGTTACGACACCTCCATTATTAACATTTACGGCATTGTGGGCACTTTTAATGTTATAGTTTTCCCGTTTGTCACCATTTTGTACACTTACACCCGCATACTCCGAGTGTGTTGCCGCTCCCCGGGGCAGACGTGGCACCGAGCCGTTCACACCTGTGCGCCTCACCTGGCCTCAGTCCTTAACTTCACCGTGGCCGTGTTTTTTGAGGTCCTTCAGGGGCGCTTTGACATGAGCCACCTCCCAACTACGCTACGCATTTTCCTGTCGCTCTACTTCCTCCTGTGTCAGCCGCTCTTCAACCCTGTAATCTACGGTTTAGTTTTGACCAAAGTACGACTCACCTGTAAAGCCTTACTCTTCAAATACATCCAGAAAGGCCAGTGATAGAGCAGAAGGAACCAAATTGTCCTCCAAAGTTTGTTCATTTTCTATTTGGAGCCTCATTTTCACTGTTATTCACATTTTTTTGGTATTGATTTAACAACCCAGCCTCATGTCGTGTGGATGAGACTTTTCTTGTAACCTGTAACTGTTCCTGAACCTTATTCCAAAGCTTTATCTACACTCTATTTACTCACCCCAACTGTACAATAAAGAAATACAAACATTTGTCGACATCTGTGTATGACCCTGACTCAAACGTTTTCAGTGAACCACATGTATAGAACTATGGGCAGGGAAACGGGGGTAGGTACATTTTTACGAATTGCAAATATGGTCCCTACACGCCACAACTGAACAAAGCCCAGAGTCACTGTGAACGCCACAAACAAACAAAACCACTCACCCATCACACTGTTGTGTTTCCTTTAAAGTCCAGTGCGGTTTATTTGTGAAAAAAGTTTGAAAATAGACCATTTAATGACAGTGCGTCCTTATAATCGAGAGCACCTAATAGCCCGGAAAATACGGTAATGCAACAGTTTTCATTAGATCACTTTTAATAAACTGATTTAGTCTACTTACATTAATAATACATCAAAATTCTTCTTCGTGACCTGTGTACTCTGTTTTTCGGACTATAAGTCGCATTTTTTTTCATGGTTTGGTGGTCCTGCGACTTTTCCGGCATGTGTCTTAATGTGAAAATTAAGGGAACAACTCGAAAATGTGCTAACTTTGCAACGGCGGTCTATTCTGGCTCGCCGTAAGTGGATCAGGGCGAGGCCGTCTACTGCAACAGAGTTTGAAATGTTAGTATCATGACAACACTGATTTGTCTGGAGCTGCGTCACAGGAAGTGAAGTCGTTCTCTGGTTTCTCCTTCGAGTGGAACCTTTAAAATCTGTGTCGTCAGCGTGAATCAAACATTAACACAACGGGGATTAAGGGGAGCGGTAGAGCGCTTCACTTAACTTCACTAAACATTAAAACTTTGCACTTTAAGATGAGGATTTTCATAGGATCATTGAAACCAAATGACATGTTTATTTAAAGCTTGACTCTAGGACATGTTTTGAAATAAGAGTTTAATTTTTTAAAAGACTTTCTTTTTTTTTTAAAAACAAAGCGTACATTTTTGGCATTTCGTTTAAGACTTTTTATTTTACTTTAAACAAAACTTTACACACACAACAGTGGATTTTTGCTTTGCTTGCATCGTTATGAATCTGACTGTAAATTTGTGCAGTTATTAATATAAACTGTCTGTAAAAGAGATTATGCATTGATATTGTATTAGAAAAATGCTCCACAACATTCTGACATTCTGAGTAACATTAACGCAAAACTGTGGGCAGCACAACAAACAAAATGTGCTTCTTTGCTTTTTTTGCCTAATTTTTGTCCTTGGAGCTTTTGGAGTGAACTGCTTTTCTACTCTTGACTTGATTTTCTTGCTTTAGGTGTCAGATACAAAGAAAAAAATACTGAGCAGAGTTGTTTTGTCTTTTATATTTTTAATTAAGTTCCAGACATTTTGATGTCATCTGCTTAACCGCCATTGAAAGATGAGGTTTTTAATGCAGTGTGATTTTGTAACTTCAGTTTTCTTCAATAACACTTCCTTCTGCCAGACAAATGTTTAACCATTTACGAGAGCATTATTTTTGCATTTATATTTTAAAATGAATGTGTCGTGGAATTGATCACATAGAACTGACTCTTGATCAAAACTGTGTGTGTGTGTTTTTTTTTTAATATACAGTATATGTATTGGGTTTGATTTTTATTAAACTCAGTGTTACTCCTGTCACTATTACAGTTTGTGTTTAGTACCTGGTTTGGAGTTAAAGTCTCAGTTAAAACCTGGTTTAGCTTTTGTGAATGACTGATGAAGACAGTTTTTACTTGAATGCTGTTAAACAAGGACTTATAATCATTTTTATTTTAACATTTAATTCTTACCTAATATAGTCATCATCCACGGCATGGATGGAACATGTACAGTTATGCCTGTTGTATTTATTTCTTAAAATGAATGGAATTATGATTTTTTTTGTGTGTGTATGTGTGTGAATTTTAAACCAAAACTTAGTTTTTTCAGCCCAGTTGATGTTAGACAGTAAAACACTCTGACATGATCAGAGTAAAACCTTTCAGATGTGTTGGGTTCTAATTCCATAATTTCATCTAATTATCATATTAGTCTTTTGAAAATTACATATGTATAATCAGAATTTACAAATGTTGAACTTTTTTTGTTATTAGAGGCTAGGTTCATAACAGGCCTGTGTGAAAGATTTGTAGAGATATACATACACCAGGTTAATGTGTTTATTGAATATTTACCTGTGCACTCTGAATCGATTCGCTCCTGTGACTGTTCTGATCTTATGATCCAGTTTTAAATCTTTACTGTTATTATCATATAAGTGGCACCTCTGACTTTAACCATGCCAGGACAGTCCCCGTTCCGGCGTCATAACTCCACTCCGGTGCAGTTCTTCGTCCTCTCTGCGTACTCTCACCCCGGCTCTCTGCGCTGGCTCTTCTTCTGTGTTCTGCTGTTGCTTTATGTTCTCATACTGTTCACCAACGTTCTCCTCATCGTCGTCATCGTTGTGAACCGCAGCCTCCACGAGCCCATGTACATGTTCCTCTGCAGCTTGTTCCTAAACCAGCTCTACGGCAGCGCAGTTCTCTACCCCTTCCTCCTGGTGCACATCCTACGAGACTCTCACATTGTTCCTGCTCCGTTTTGCTTTTTCCAGATTTATGTTTTACACGGATATGGGAGGGTGGAATTCTTTACGTTGGCTAGTATGTCGTACGACCGCTATGTGGCCATTTGCCATCCGCTTCACTATAAATCTCTCATGAGCCGGAACAAGATGGCTGCACTGATTTTGTTTCCATGGACATATGGTTTGTTAATGATGGGTGTTATGATCAGTCTGAGTTCATCATTGGAACTTTGTAATAATGTTATTGATAAAGTTTACTGTGATAATTACCCCATAGTAAAACAGGCCTGTTACGACACCTCCATTATTAACATTTACGGCATTGTGGGCATTTTTAATGTTATAGTTTTCCCATTTGTCACCATTTTGTACACTTACGCCCGCATACTCCGAGTGTGTCGCCGCTCCCCGGGGCAGACGTGGCACCGAGCCGTTCACACCTGTGTGCCTCACCTGGCCTCAGTCCTTAACTTCACCGTGGCCGTGTTTTTTGAGGTCCTTCAGGGGCGCTTTGACATGAGCCACCTCCCAACTACGCTACGCATTTTCCTGTCGCTCTACTTCCTCCTGTGTCAGCCGCTCTTCAACCCTGTAATCTACGGTTTAGTTTTGACCAAAGTACGACTCATCTGTAAAGCCTTACTGTTCAAATACATCCAGAAAGGCTTGTGGTTGAGATCCAAGAGGCAAAAGTAAAATTTATTAAATTGTTTCAAACCTTCTGTGAAATAAAAATAAATAAAACAGTTACAAGTCTATAAACCAAGTGTACTACACTTTGTCACAAAGTGAAATCACCACTCAGGTCAGGACCACAGAACTGCAGGTAAGAGAACCCACAGCCTTGACCCTCCAAGTCTTGCCATAGCAGAGTCACCGCTATGCAGAGCCTTCAGCAGGGATCAGTGTACTCTGTTCACTTTGGTTTGCTCATTCACCGGGGCAACAGCGTACTCTACGCCACTTTCACTTGGACTTGAAGTACCACATGGGTCACTGGGCCCCACAGGTCTTGGAATTGTGACATGCTGGTCGTGACTGGCCTTTCTGTGTGAGGAAGCTAGGCGCAATCTCTCCCTTTCACTGTCAAAGGTCATCTGCAGACATGCCTGGTGCTCCTGCACCCACTCATGAATGGTTCCTGCCACTGGGTCTTGCACTCAACCCAGCAAAAATCAAATGGCAGTCGTCAGTAAATGGCCCATGAAGGCGTGCACTACAAGTTGATTTTCCTTCACATGCTGACATCTCTCACAAGCCTGGCACCGCTGAGCTACCTCACGGTAAATACCTGGCCAGTAATGCCTAGAGCACAACAAGGCCAGGGTTTCTCTGTATGCCTTAGTGTTCATGCTCCTGATGGACTTGGGCGAGGGTATTCTGGATACACAGATAATATAATACACAGCCCCACCCAGTGTTGCACCTGAACGCGTTCATTGAACTATAGTGAACAACACCATCCTACAAGTAATCACTGAACTATAGTTCAAGAACTCGTTCATATTTTGGGCGAACGTGAATTGAACGCACTGTATTACTGCCTGATGAACGAACTATGAATGCGTTCATTCTGCTGTCTGTAAATGGCATGTGCTTCTTTCTAACTTCGTTCAATAGGGGGTGTCAGATTTCTTTAGTGTTCAGGCGAAACACAGCTAAACACACCGTAAAGAGCCCTTACTATTTAGTGGAAACATTCTGGGGTCCAGGGTCCAGCATCACTTTGTACTCGCCTTTTCCTGGACCGTTTACCAGTCAGTTCAGCAACTCAGCGATGAAAGGGAGCAGCCAATTTGGTGAAACCCTCATCAAAACATTGATATTAGCTGGCAAATCCACAGAAGCAACGTAGTTCTGTGGGCGCATATAGTGCAGGCTAGTCTCTGATATCACGTGGCCCAGATACTGTATCTCCCGCTGGAAGAAACTTGCTCAGTTTAGCTTTGGGCCCCTCTTCCTGCAACCTCTCCAGCACCACTCCCAGCCTCTCCAGATATTGCTGAACCATTGATGAAAATCTAACAATATCATCCAGGTAAAGAAGAACAGACGGGCATGCTGGTCCCCAAAGACAAGTTCCATCAACCGCTAGAATGTGCTGGAGGTGTTGCAGAGCCCAAAAGGCAAACAAACTGAAAGACATACAAAAAACTGTTTTATGCCACTGTTTTATTTTGTTATTTTTACGGGGTGGAGCACTCGCTGACAATTTATGCCTCCAAGATGTGATGGATATGCTCTTTAACAAACTCATATTCCAATGGGGGATACAGTGGTACTGCAGCTAGACCAGGACATCATCCAGAAGGTGGATGTTATGAGTGATCAGGTTAGTAGAGCCCAAATCCTGATCATTCCTGCAAATGTAACCACAGCTGGAGCAGCAGCAGTTTGTGAGGAAACACTCGCAGGAACTCAGGGAATGTCTGTTGGTCCTGCAGGAAGGCTCACCACACTGACATCACCCAGTGTCCATCCAGTGTCCAGGGTATGAGGATAAAGCAGCACGTCGTTGTCCCCAACACTGACAACTGGGACATACATAATACCCCTGACCACCTGAATCAAGGCTGGTGATGCCAACAAACCTGCAGCAGAGTAGCCTTCAGGGGTCAAATAACACTGTGGTACCAGTTGTCACCATTTTGTACACTTACACCCGCATACTCAGAGTGTGTTGGCGCTCCCCGGGGCAAACGTGGCACCGAGCTGTTAACACCTGTTTTGCCATAGCAGAGTCACCGCGATGCAGATCCTTCAGCAGGGACCAGTGTACTCTGTTCACTTTGGTTTGCTCATTCACCAGAGCAAAAGTGTACTATATGCCACTTTCACTTGGACTTGAAGTACCACATGGGTCACTGGGCTCCACACGTCTTGGAATTGTAACATACTGGTCTTTCTGTGTGAGGAAGCTAGGCGCAATTTCTCCCTTTCACTGTCAAAGGTCATCTGCAGACATGCCTGGTGCTTCTGCACCCACTCATGAATGGTTCCTGCCACTGGGTCCTGCACTCGACCCAGCAAAAAATCAAATGGCAGTCACGGCTCCTGTCCAAACATCAAGAAGAATGGTGACTCTCTTATGGACTGGAGAGGACTAGTGTTGTAGGCATAAAGCACCTGGGGCAGTTAACCACTCCAGTCCCTCTTGCAGGGTGCAACGTGTTGTATAGCATGTGACTGAAACACTCACACTGCCCACTGCCTGCTGGGTGGTACAGGATAGAATGTGACTTAACGATCCCACACAAGCTGCACAACAGCTGGATCAGCATTTAAAGTTAGGCCCTGGTTGGAGTGGATATGTGACGGAAAAACAAACTTTCCTAACCATTTTGTGGCCAGGACCTGTGCCACTGCAGAGGTGAGCTGATTGTGGATAGTGTAATATTTCCCGAACACAGTGGTCATGATCAGCACATTTTCCAGACCATGAGGGGTTGGTTCCAGTGGAGTAAATCAGTCGCCACAATCTTTGGTTGTGAAGTCAGTAAGTGGCCCATGAAGGCGTGCACTACAAGTTGATTTTCCTTCGCATGCTGACATCTCTCACAAGCCTGGCACCGCTGAGCTACCTCACAGGAAATACCTGGCCAGTAATGCCTAGAGCACAACAAGGCCAGGGTTTCTCTGTATGCCTTAGTGTTCATGCTCCTGATGGACTTGAGCGAGGGTATTCTGGATACACAGATAATATAATACACAGCCCCACCCAGTGTTACACCTGTTGTTCATTGAACTATAGTTCATGAACAACACCATCCTACAAGTAATCACTGAACTATAGTTCAAGAACTCGTTCATATTTTGAGCGAACGTGAATTGAACGCACTGTATTACTGCCTGATGAACGAACTGTGAATGCGTTCATTCTGCTGTCTGTAAACGGCATTAGCTTCTATTTAACTTCGTTCAATAGGGGGTGTCAGATTTCTTTAGTGTTCAGGCGAAAACACGGCTGAACACACCGTAAAGAGCCCTTATTATTTAGTGAAAAACATTCAGTCTGGCTACAACAGTAGCCACCAGCACCATCGAAATAAAATGAAACACTTGACTCTCTACTGCGCTTGTCTCCTGCAGAGAGTCACTGTTCTGAGGTACATGGACCAGTTAGATTTATTCATATTGGACAATTCACTTTTGGAGACAGCCAATGGGACAGTGGATAGAGGATATACTCTGCTTCTGTCCTCTGGAAAAGGTAAGAGGCTTGTTTTCGTTAGTTTGGTGCAAATCTGCAGACAGAGCCTGACAGGTAAATGGTGTTATAGTGTTAATAGTTGTTATCAGTGTAGCCATGCATCTGTGGCCTAGGAGGTACTCCCTGAACTTCTCAGTCATGGCCCACTTAAGGGCCAGCAGCTCAAGCTTCATAGAGCTGTAATTGGACATGTTATGCTCAGTCGGACGCAACCCTCGACTGGTTTTGGTCGCACCTTCGCTTCCTGATCCTGGAAGAGCACTGCCCCGATCCCAGCATGATTGGGGGCAGTGCTGCACTGCACCAATCTGCTGCTAGGACTCACAACAAAACAACCAGCCATGTTACAGTGACAGTAACTAACAGTGTTATATATATTCTTTGTTACTGGTAAAAGTAGCGCTTTTACTAACGAAGATATTTAAACTAGTATCGAAACTAGATTTGAGCAGGTATCAATACTGAAAAGTCACATTCACACTAAAAAATGAACCTTTCCTGAATATCTTTAGTGTATCAGAACAAGTATAAGAAGAGCACACAGACTAGAATACGCCCTTGAAGAACTATGGGACCTGCTTGAACGACTGAGCAATAACACAGATATAAGACCACATGGTAATATAAAAGAAACTGATTTAATATGTTTTAATTTTGAAAATCATATCTATATGGTTATTTATTATCATTTTGGTATCAGAATTAAAATTGAGTATCGAGTATATTCCTTTGTATCGAATAAAGTTTGAAATGTTAGTTATAAACAGTTTGTCTGTATCTGCGTCACAGGAAGTGAAGTCGCCGTCTCCTTCGAGTGGAACCTTTAAAATCTGTGTCGTCTGCGTGAATCACACATTAACACAGCGCAGATTAAGGGGAGAGGTAGAGCGCTTCACTTGACTTGACTAAACATTAAAACTGTGCACTTTAAGATGAGGATTTTTATAAGAACATTTAAACCAAATTACATGTTTATTTAAAGCTTGACTCTGGGACATGTTTTGGAATAAGAGCAGAAACAGCTGTAAGATTTTTTAAAATAGTTTTTTAAAACAAAGCGTACATTTTTGTCATTTTGTTTAGGTCTTCTTATTTTATTTCTACTTTTTTGCTTTGCTTGAATTGTTATGAATCTGACTGTAAAGTTGTGCATTTTATTTTAATATAAACTGTCTGTAAGAGAGATTATGCATTGACATTTTAGTAGAAAAATGCTCCTCAACATTCTGACTGAGTAACACTGGCGCAAAACTATGGGCAGCACAACAAACAAAATGCACTTTTTTGCTTTTTTTGCCTAATTTTTGTCTTTGGAGCTTTTGTTTCTACGATAATTATTTCCTCGACACACAGACTCAGAAACATGTTATTTAAGAAGAGAAAGGTTCATTTCAACTGTACGCAGTCTACAGTTTTCCCTGTTGTTTAGCTGTTAACTGCTTTTCTACTTGTTTTTTCTTGTTTTAGATGTCAAATACAAATGAAA